ATTCCATTCCATTCCATTCCATTCCATTCCATTCCATTCCATTCCATTCCATTCCTATTTCTATTCTATGGCCATGCTGGATGACCTTCACTGAGAACTGAATGTGGGGAATGACTGCTTGAGAGGCTTCGGGTGCAATGAAGAAAGGGTCCTTCAGCTTGTGAAATATGGAACAATGTTCTAAGCAATTCAGCCGTGTCCAACATTCAAGGCTGGCTGGAGGTCCTGTGGGTCCCAGGGGGAAGTGAGCTTTGAGTTAGAATTCAGCTTCTCCAAATTCATATGCAGATTTATATACCTCCAGAGTGTCTCTGGGTGGCTTAAAAACAGTGTCTTGTGAGTAGAATGTCTCTCATTAAATAGTGTCCTGACCCAGAAAACTGAAGTTGTGAAACATTTCTTGGTTCCAAAGTGAGGGCCCTCCTAGCTTCAAACGAGAAAAGAGATTTTATTTAGATATGGCCTTGGGCTTGTAAGAGACTCTAATCCCCCCTGGAGTGGGATGGTTTCTCTTCCTGGCTGAGCTACCTTCGGTCGCTCTGAGTGGAAAAGAGGTTTTTCAGCGCCGTCTCTCTGGACTTCGTGAAGTAGGAAATTCCTTTCTTGCAACATATGATACGCCGGAAGGGAATGACAGGAACCAGGTGAAGAACCTGCCAGGAGCTGTTTCTCTCCCAGTCATTCAGAGCCATTCAGGGCAGTCTTTGACTTACAACAGTTCATTTAGTGACAACCGCACTGAAAGAAGTGACTTATGTCCATTTTTCATACTTATGACCGTTGTAGCATCCCCACGGACATGTGATCGAAATCCAGATGCTTGGCAATTGGTTCATATTTATGACGGTTGCAGTGTCCCAGGGTGGTGGTCGTGTGATCCCCTTTTGCGACCTTCTGACAAAGAATGGGGAAGCCAGATTCACTTAGCAAAGGTGCTACTAACAAAAGCAGTGATTCACTTAATAATTATGACCAAGAAAGGTCATAAAATGGGACAAAATTCCCTTAACAAATGCCTCACTTTGCAACATAAAATCTGGGTTCAATTGGGGTCATAGTCAAGTAGGCAGAGATTTAATATTTACCTCAGCAAAGATCAGAGGCTACTTGGCTCCAGTTCCCATGGATTCCTAGCTCTAACCCACTTTCTTTGGCCTCCCTTCTTTTTCTGCTCAGTCTCGGCCTCAGTCCAGATGTGTGGAAAGTTGTCCTCCTGGGTTTGTCAAGAGGGCTCGGGAAGGAGAGCCAGTTTGCTGCTACGACTGCGTTCCTTGTCCGGAGGGGACCTTCTCCACTCAGGAAGGTGGGTGACACCAGAGGAAAATGGGAGATCTTGCAGGACTGGATCCATCCAGAACATTTTGATGAAAGTACCTGTTGAAAGACACATGGAAGGTTATTTTCTCATCTAAAGAGAATAATCCAAAGATCTTGAAGGAAAAATGGCTAGGAAAAGATAGAAGTTATGGCAGATTTACTTTTGATAAGGAAAATCATTCTTATGCTTGCTAGTTTGGATGTGTCCTTCCCTGGTTATCTCTCTACCTATAGGAACATCTCAGTTCTTTGAAACATTGAGAATTCTTTATCTCCATGGTTTTTCTTCATCTGAAACAGATGTTGGCCCCAAAAGTGCTGCAAAATAAGCCACATCAAGCAATCAGTTCCATTAAGGTCATCAACCACCATAAGCAGAAAGACCTTCTTGAAGAATCACAGAGGGAAAGTTTTGGGCTCAACGGAGCAAAGAGGAACAAAAGAAAACCAAATTCTTACCATAAAATCAAGGTATCGTGAGAGGAGAGTGGTAAATTAAATATACAGTTATTGGGGGTAAAATGTGTTTATTTTTCTCCAATGCTGTAATGATCCATGTTATGGACTAAAAGGTAAAACACTCATATTGTGATGACCAGGGTGGGATAAAAATAAAGTCACAAAAACAGGTGAAGCCCCTTTTATTCCTTCAACTTGGCTTCAAAGCTCCAAATATCCTTGACTGGAGACAAAAAACTCCCCCACAAACAGTTATGAAAAGGAGGAAATGGTGTTTAAACTAAAAAATGCCTATAAATTATAAATAGCAAAAACAACACAAACCGCACTGAAGCAATTAAAGGAACCAGGCATGATAAGGGCTTGAAGACATCTACAGAGATCAGAACACACACTGGGAAGGACGCCAAACTCAGATAGGAACAGAGAGACTAGAGATATTTTCACGCTTTGTTTCCAGCACTGGCCCATACGCATGTCTGTCCTTTTAAACAGTTCTCACAGCTGCGGCCCATGAAGAGGATCAAGGCCCTTTCCACCCCCGTGGACCACACCATTCACCATTCATGTCTCTCCCTTATCCTCTCCTCCCTGCGTGCCCTAGGATGGAGAGGGAATGGACCTGGGTCTTCCTCTGACTGCCCAGCCGGCCTCTGCCCTTCCCCAGCTTCCTCCACAACCTCCGGAGCCACACTTCCACTTCCTGTCGGCTGTTCCTCCTCTCCCTCAGAGTCAGTCTCCACCAGGGGCATGACACATATTCACATCAAATTCCTTGGCGTCATTGGTACTGGGCTTTCCATTTTTTGATATCTCTTTCCCTCTTTGTTAAATAGTGAAATATGAACAACCGCAACCCCAGTCAAAAACAAAGTTAGTTAAGGTTAAAAAATAACAACAAAAACATGTCCTAAATGCACTATTGTGATACAATTGCAAGAAACCTAACCAAAAAGATGTGAAATGGAGAAATAATGAAAATAACAAGATGTAAAATATTGAGTTAGTTCAGTGCTTGAACTTATCAATAAATCTATACAGCATGGAACCAAATTGCTTCATCTGCTCATTCTTAGAATATAAAGACTTTGCCAAAATAAAGTCTGATATTCTCATTTATTACTTAAAAAATTAATCTTCCTTAAATTAGGATCAGAATTTTTTTTAAATGTACACAAGATTATACCTTTGCTGAGCCCCAAACTCAGGTGAAACAAAAGATTTTAGGGATATAATTTATCATCCCATTTACAATTAATGTAGAGTATGAAGAGAGTTGGTCCTAGAACACTGCCTTGGGGGACACCACTATTGACAGGCACAGAATTTGATAGGACGCTCCCAATTTTGACCATTTGTTGTCTGTTTGACAGGAATGCTTCTATCCAGTTATGCAGGGGTCCAGAGATAACCGTAAGATTTTAGTTTTAGGAGTAGTTTGTCGTGTCCCACTGAATCAAAGGCTTTACAGAAGTCTATGTAGATTGCGCCTATTGCTTTGCCCTGATCGAGTTGTGTCGTCCATATGTTTTTGCAGTGTAAGATCTATATTTCACGGGTAGATTCTGCCGTAGGAAGAACTGCTGCACTGGATGACAGGCAGGGAGAGAGAGGTAGCGAGAGGGAAGCCTTTCCTGCTACTCCCAAGCCCATCATCCCTGCCCTTCCCCCTCCCAGGCGCTCCTCTTTCCCGTCCTTCCTACCCTCCTGGCCCTATGCCCCAGGTCCACCAGGGGGCGCACTTAGCCAAGGGAAGGGAACTCCAGGCGCTTCCCCCTTGGGCCACTGGAGGGCGAACGTCACCATTCTAGAGGCGGCAGCGAAGGAAGTGACCTCACTAAAGCCTTGCCTCTCTAGGACGCCGCACTCGCTCTCCTCAACCCCTGGAGCTCGCAGGTCGCGGAGAGGCTGCGGGAGAGTCCGGCGGGGGGACATCCAGACGTGCCCCGGGTGAGGGGGGGGGGCTCTTCCCGAGTCCCATGCTCCCCAGCCGCCCTCTCCATGAGAAGCGGGGGGGGGACCCTGGGCCCTGCGCTGGGAGGAGCCGCTTGGGGCTGCGGGCAGGTTGGGGGAAGGGGGTGCAGGGGCTGAATCCCCCTTTCTGATCCTGGGCGTCGGTTTTTCTCTCCCTCCCAGATCCGGAACCTCGGAGCCCTCGGAAGCCTTTGCAAGCCAGGATCTCCTCGGCGGGGGAAGGAAGGAAGGAAGCAGAAGGACCGGCAGGGATCCGTCCTGCGGCCCCAGAAATGGTCCCGTGAAGGAAGAGGCCCCCGGAGATCCCCCCGGAGTCCCCGGAGCCCTTTGGAGCTGCTCTGCCGGGGAGAGAGGAAGGATGGAGAGACCCCCCCTTTGGCCAAGGAGGGGAGCGGAAAAGGCCCCGCGGCTCTTCAGCCTGGGAGCTGTGGGGAGAGCTGGGCCAGAACCGGGCAGGAGGTCCTGCAGGAGGGAACCCTCCTCCCTCCAGAACTTCCCCCCTGGACCTCCATCCGATACCGGGAGGCTGAGGGTCCCCGGGGACTTTGCAGCCGACTCCGTGACTTGTGCAGGCGATGGCTGAGCCCAGGAAAGCACAGCAAAGCCCAGATGCTGGACCTGGTGGTTCTGGAGCGGCTCCTGGCTCTCCTGCCCCCAGAGATGGAGGGCTGGGTGCGGGAGTGTGGAGCAGAGAGCAGCTCCCAGGCGGTGGCCCTGGCGGAAGGCTTCCTGCTGAGCCAGGCGGAGGAGCAGAAGGAGCAGCTCCAGGGGCAGGTGGGAGACTTTAGGGAGCTCGGAAGGGAATAAATAGAGAAAGTGTTTGAATGCTTCACCCCTCCTTCCCAAACTTCTCTTGCATTCATAATATGAGGCAGTTCTCCACTTCTGGTAGGACGTTGTTCCACTGTTTTCTCACTCACCAAAAGGAAGGATATTGGGGGCTTTGAAGTTGTGTTCCGAATAGAAGAATCCACTTTGTGTCTTGTGACGTATATTAATTCTGCTTCTTTTTTCCTTCCTCCTATTTGAAGTGCTGCAGTGTGGAGATCAGAGATCCTGAGGGAAAGAAGAACCCATCAAATCCCCCTCGGGAGCTATTTTTCAGGAAGATCCCTTGGGAAGATCCAAGACAGGAGGTAATGGAAGATCCTCAGATCCCCCATCTATCTTCCCTTCGCTCTCACTTCTCTCCTATAGAATACCTCCTCCTATTTTGCTAAATATGCATTTTGAAATTATTTATTCCTTACAGAGAAACAAAGAATGAAGATTTCTGGTTTTTATGAGGGAGATCAAACAGCAGTTGAACCTCCAAATCAAGTAAGAAAGGGAAAAGATACTAGATTCGTATTCTTCCTTCAGGAAATGAAGCGGGTGTGCAGAGGGCTCTCTTCTTCTGTTTTCCTCCTCTTGTTTGGCCTGGATTATTTTTGGGTTCTTCCACAACATGGAGAGCAGAATAGCAGGTTCAAGTTGCTGTCAGCCAGCATAGCTTCCTCTGGTTGTCTTGTTCTGCTAGGTTCTCCTCCAACTTGTAGTTTACAAGAAGCAATTTTTTAAAAGTCCTTCAAGAAATAGGAATACATGTATCACAGTGGCAGGAATTGCTAGAGACCCCCCTTTTTTGGTAATTCTTTGACTCGGAATTGTGCAAGGGTGATGAAAACAATAAATAAATACATTGCTACATTACCATTTTTTAAAAGCCTTATTTATAACCTGTAGTTCAAAAATAAGGAAATCGTATTAAAAAATAAAGCAGACTATTAAAATCCAAACGTTGTGGCCATGTTGAGCATGTAATCGTGGTACTTTGGGCTACAAAATAATTTCTAATCCTCTGATTTGCGCCTCGATTAGGAGATTCTGTTGGTTTTTTTTTTTTTTTTTTTGTCAATTGTAGCATAATATGCTGGCTCACATTTAAGTGGTTGTCCACTAGGACTCCAAGATCCCTGTTGCACTTACTGCTGTTCAGCCAGGTATCGCTATTCTATGCCAGTACATTTGGTTTTTGTTTCCTAAATGTAGAACCTTACATTTCTCACTTGATTTTGTTTTATTAGATGGGGCCCAATCTGTCGATCCTTCTATATCTCGAGCTTATCTTCTGGAGTGTTGGTATTGCGGTCAACTTGGTCTTGTGTGCAAATTTGATGAGTTCCCCTTCTATCCTCTTGTCTAAATCAGTGATGAAGATGAACAGATCTTGCGAATCCTCCTGTTCTGTTCTTTTTTCCATGTCCAGGAGGGTCTTGTGTCCTTAGAGGAGGTGGCTGTGTATTTCTCTGAGGAGGAATGGTCTCAGCTGGATCCTGACCAGAAAGCACTGCATTCGGAAGTCATGCTTGAAAACCATAGGAACGTGGTCTCTCTGGGTAAGATTTTTCTAGTCCCCAATCAGGAAGAGAGATTATAATTAGTTTTTTATTTAAAAAAAAACACTAATCAAATATTGTCTCCTGGGAGGGAGAAGGAAAGGATCTGGCCTTGTCGTGCTCCAAGGAAGGAAAGAGTCAATGTCTCTTTCCTTAGATGTTTTCTCTGCCATTTCTTATCTGTGTTTTTTCCATTTATATTTGAACTTATCTGTGGAGGCAGAAACGAATGAGGTGTACTTTTATGTGGAGGTCATGTGAGAGGAGTGTGTTCTCATTTCTCCTCTGAAACCTCTAAATTATGTGAGAACAGAACTTTCATGCTCAACCCATGGAAGAGCATTCTGTCAGCGTTCCAGAAAAACTCAACTCCATTCAAAAACTCCGAGACAGACAAGTTCTCAAAGTTCCTGTTATTAGAGTAGTAAACTGGCACATCTGGGAAATCCCAAATCTGAAAATTCCAGGTTTCTCTACAATAAGTAAAAAATTACAAATCCACTCCCTGCTCACATCATTCCATCACATGCCCCAATCACCATCCGTCCCATCTTGAGTTGTCCTCTACTCCTCCTCAACCAGGTGCAGGAACAACATGACCTTGACTGTAATGAAGAATGCTATTATGTCTAACCACATACACTCCATGAAATTCCCCCCTCCCATCTTCCCATGCTCAAGAATGTGGCAGCATGGAAGCTTCAGTGCTAATATGGCTTCCAAGGCTGACACATTCTCCCAATCCAATCCAAGAACAAAGGCCTCATGCAGTGTGACTCAGAGCATCCTAGACCAGGGGTCGCCAACCTTTTGGACCTCAGGGACCACCAAAGTCATAATTTTAAATCCCAGGGACCATTAACTGGTTCTGTGGGCGTGGCCTAATTTGTGGGTTTGGCTTGGTGGTCATGTGACTGGCTGGGCATGGCTTGTATGTAAATATTATAAGTATGTATATAAATATTGCACTTTTTATAAAAAAAAAAGAGCAACTTTTACCCAAAATCAGGCAAAGCAGTCAGGCAGATTGAGTTGCTCACAGAATCACACATTCATTCAGAGATCTATCTATCTGCCATTGGCTAAATTAGTCTGTCACATAAAATTTGCTTGCAAGCAAACTCACAAAATTAACTCACAACACACCATGTATGTAAATATTGATTTTTTTTATAAAAAAGGAACAACTTTTACCCCAAAGCAGGCAAGCAGATTGAATTGCTCACAGAATCATTCAGTGATCTATCTATCTGCCATCGGCTAGCTCAGTCTGTCACATAAAATTTGCTTGCCGTGAGTCTGCACTGAATAATAGAACCTTCAGTCCTAAGGGAGGTTCGGCTGTGCTTAAAAGCAGAGCCGAAGATCTAAATACTAGCTAGAAAGTAAGAAATCCAACCATTTCCTGCGTCCTAGCTAATCTAAATCTCCTGGCATAGCAGAACAGCTGATGGTCTGAAAAATAGCAATTTAGCAGGCAAGTTTGCCGGGTAAGGAGTGAGTGGGCCGGGAGAGTTCCCGTGGGCCATGTGGGCAGTGCAGCCTTGTGTTTCTGCACAGCCTGGATTAATTGCTTTGGGGGGGGGGTGCTCTGGGGGTGAAATTTCTCTGCGGCCCACCAAAATTTTCTCATGGCCCACCAGTTGACAACCCCTGTCCTCGGGTACAGGTAATCCCCGGGTTATGACAGTTCACTAGCGACCATTCCATATTATGACCAGCCCTCCCCCAAATACTTGAGACCCAGTCCCGAAATTATGGGTATTGCAGCACCACGGCCATCGTTCATACTTACAAATGACAGTAGAGGCTCTGCAACATTCACCCTACCTATCCTCCCACCCTATTCAGCTGGGACTTACTGTATTTTTCAGACTATAAAATGCACTCCCCCCCCAAAAAAAGTGGAACTATCTGTGCATCTTATAGAGGGAATACGGGCCTATTTTTGGCCTCTCAAATCCTCTGCTCGTCCCATTTTCAGCCTCCCCAATGTCGGGCAGGCCAACAGCAGGCCCATTTTTGGCCTGCTGAGTGCTTCTAGATGCCAGGGAGGGTGAAAATGGGACGTCAAAAATGGGGCAATGGGAGGCTTCTAGCATGGTATTTATCTCCAAAATATGATTGCTGGGATCAAGGAACAGGCCGAGTGGGGGTCCCACCCACCAGACAGACGCCGTGGAGCAGCTGCTCCAAGGTACACTGGGGACGAAGGAGCTTTTTTCAAAATTGTTTCATTTCTCACTAGTCTCTGCGGAAATTAAGCCACCTCAATAAATCGTAAGTTTTCTCCTAATTTCTCCTTGGATGTTTCCCTTGATTATTCCTTAACTCGAAACTGACTCTGAGTGAGATTTGCATATATATATATATACCCTGTTTCTCCAACAATACGGCCTCCCCCAATAGGAAGTCCCAGCATGTTTTATAGGCATGAAATGAAATTAAGCCCCTCCCCCCAAATTAAGGCCTATATTAAAACATGCGAAATGGGGGGAATGGTGGGGGAGGTTGCCATTAGGAAGTACTTTTGTTGCACACCTGGATATGGTGCTGCCTGCGTTGACCCCGATACGAAGTGCCCCACCAACGCCGAGGTCAACATCCAAGCCGTTGCTGCCCGCCCAAAGATGCAAAGGGGGGGAATTAAGTCACCCCTGAAAAAATGGCCTAGCCATTTTTTCGGGGCTCAAAAAGAAATAAGACCCAGCCTTATTATATGAGAAACACAGTAGATAATTGTAAAGAAAGGTATGTCTAGATATTTTCAAAGCTTTCATGACTCATGAATATAAAAATCATCATGTCTATATCACACCACTGTAGGCATGCAAACATACAAACTGGGCCTCTTCTACTTAAAGGAAGCAGGTTTCCTCTTCTGGGTCAAGGCCATTTCTTCCCTATGTGACAACTGGCTCTTTCGGCAACTACTCCGCAACAGAGACCTTATCCTGGAAATCCTTGAATGCAGAGTTTACAGGAAGACACTAACGCAGCTGGGTAGGAGCAACGCAGCCCACACATCTTGCCCCTTGGATTGTTATCTGGACTTGATGGTTTCTGAGGTTCAAATCTCACCCCCCCCCAATCCAGGCCTTTGCTTGACCACTCGGCCGACCTCTCTCGGAATGCATTGTGTTTGGGTGCCCCACCAAAGGACTTGCCCTGCCCCCTTAATGCATGCTGCTTGCTTTGCCTGAATTATTCGGGGAGGTGGTGGTACCATGTTTCTCATATAATAAGGCCGGGTCTTATTTTTTTTGAGCCCCGAAAAAATGGCTAGGCTGTCTTTTCGGGGGTGACTTAATTCCCCCCCCCCCCGGCA